TATATATATATAAAAGAGTACTCTTTCCGCAGGCTCTGAACCTGGGCTTAAACCACTGTCACACCAATAAAAAGACCCCTCACCCCAAATCCTCAGAGGGTAGAAAAGCACATCTGAACAAGGTGTGGAAATGTTTTTATTTCCCCCAAATATATTAATCTGCCTCATGACAAGGTATAGAATGGCATATGTGAACAATGAGCAATCCTAAATTTAGTTTATGCCATAAAACTCAAGAAATGGAACCACTCTGCGCTCCCCTTTAGATGGCTTAACGAAATATCAGGACTCCTATTTAACTGGTATGGGTACTAACCCCTTCATTGAAGGCAATTAACATTTACTGCATGTACAAATGGCAGCTGCTATTTTAAACAGGCATGTCAATGTAATGGTCTTTTCCTTGGTTCTCAAACTGAGCAATAACAAAACTGCACTGAGAATAACTACCTCTCGAGAACCTCATTGTATCAACCTCAGTGCAGAGGAAGACCTTAGCCATTTTGTTAAGGGACTTAACCAAATATATTTATTTAACTACCATGTTGTAACTCAAAAATACTAAGCTGTTCTATTCGAATTCTACAAAGTACAAAGGATAGGAATTTCCTATAGATTTTCAATACCAAGAGAAACATTTTAAACAAAATTACAGAGGCACATTTTGACAGAATAATTCAAGCATTACAAGCCACATTCCAAAACAGGTTTGCTTCCAAGGTCTAAGGAGAAAATGGGTGAACAAAATCAATCCCTCAATCTTCCTTCTGATTTTGACACTTAACATCTAATCAGGTTTTCTTCTCACACAACCTTTTTGATGGCCCATTAGTAAGAACCTTGATTAACATTGCTGGTAGAGGTGGTTTGTGGTAGGCTCACATTCTGCCCTGTTTTATGAGACTAGCCTGGAAATAACCTTTGTTTCCACTTTTTTATCAGCAGATCTCTCGTATGCCCTTCAAAGGTACTCAGGAGAGATGTAGATGGCTTGATCAAGGCTAAGCAGACAAGAAAAACAGCTCTATTTTTCTAACCATTCCTTAATCAATTGGTGGGCAATAGCTATCTTGGGGGGCAAGTAGAATGGGAAGGCCCCGTCCTGCTGTTGGGTATAGGGGCCCTTTCTCCTCAGGGCCATGGCCACCTCATCATGACTGAACCACGCAGCTGCCTCCAGTTCTCTCAAGTTCAGCTGGATCTGAAAGAAATAAGGTAGAACAGGATGTAAGGCAGGAACTATAAAAAATTACTGTTTGTTCATATTAGGGTGTCTCTCAGAGGTGCTAGGTCATTGGGGGATACCCTCTTGAAGTTGTGATATGCTTTTCTGTGTTTTGGTAACTGATGAACCTACAGGGACAGCAAGTAGAATGTGGGTTTCTGGGGGTGTGGGGTGGGCTGGTAAAAGGGAGATGATGTCAAGTAGCCTAGGAAGGAAAATTATGTTTGGAAACGGATTATGGAAGCAATGGTACGATTCTCCTTGACACGAGTGAACTTTGCAATGGCATAACATTTTTTGGTATGTGAAACCCAGGACTGATGAACCCATGTAGACAGCAAGTAGAATAAGAGTTACAGAGGAAGGGGTGCAGCGCTGATGGGGGTGTGATGGGGAGGCGATGTCAAAGTATCCTTGTAGGAAAAAATGTTTGGAAAGTGGTTGTGGAAGCAATTGCACAATTCTGCTGGATGTGGTTGAATTATGGAATGGTACGATATATGTATTAAATCCCAATTAATATATAGTCTTAAAAAGTTATAATACTATGGCCAAAGGTGACACCATTATTTCAAAACCTGAGATCCACAAGCTGTGATAAAATCTGTTTGAGATATTGCTCAGGAGCAAAAGAGACAAAATATATACTTGTATATAAAATATAAATACAAATAAGCTATATTTATTCATCCTCTGGAAATTATTATGATATAACGTATATTTGTGATGAAATACATAAGTATGGCTAGCCTTGAGAAGAATGGGAATTCCAGAAATTTTAATTGTGCTCATGAGGAGCTGGTCCAGGGATCAAGAGGCAGCTGTGCACACAAAACAAGGGAATACTGTGTGGTTTAAAATCAGGAAAGGTGTGCGTCAGGGTTGAATCCTCTCACTATACTCAATCTGTATGCTGAGCACATAATCAGGGAAACTGGATTATATGAAGAAGAATGTGGTATCAGGATTGGAGGAAGGCTTATTAACAATCTGCCCTATGCAGACGAAGCAACCGTGCTTGCTGAAAGTAAGGAAGATTTGAAGCACTTGATGATGAAGATCAGGGATTGCAGCTTTCAGTATGGTTTAAAACTCAATGTAAAGAAAACCAAAATCCTCACAACTGGACCAATAGGTAACATCAAGATAAATGGAAAATGACACATTTGCATTGGTAAATCTGCTGCACAACGCCTCTTTAAAGGGTGGAAAAGTAAGGACTAAGGTGCGATTTTCAATTGCTTGTATGCGTGTGGAAGTCGGACTCCGCATAGGGAAGAGGGAGGAAGAATCCCTGATGCATTAAACTAGCGTGTGAGCAAAGACCACTGCAAGTGGCACCGACTGCCAAAGAGTACCCACATCTGTTGTGAGAGAAGTACTGTACAGCCAGGACTCTCCTTGGAGGCCAGGATGGCGGCGAGACTTTGACTCCAGTACGTGGACACACTGTCAGGAGAGACGGGGCCCTCCA